TAATAGTGAGGATTTTGTCTTTTTTCATCTGTTTTTTGTTTTTATAGACAATTGATTTTGGATCACTTGGACCTTTTCAATCACAATGTGACCTCTTTAGATATCATGAAAATATTGACAAAGATTTTATGCAAAGAAAATATCTGAGTTTTGAATTGTAGAGTCACTGATATTCCCAAGCATAGTATCATCAGTACATTCCAATTACAAGGTCTATGCTGGATATTATAGCCAAAGACTCAAAAGGGTTCTTTCTTGGGTACTGTGAATTATAGTTCTATGTAGTTCCTCCACCACTAACCATAGACTTATTCCACAATACACTGTAGTTTTTAGGTAACAGCAGGGTGTCCAGAAAAATCTATTTGGAAGTATATCTTAAAGCATAAGTAGGTGACCAATGGTTTTTAGATTTTTTTTATTCTAGACAAACCCAGAAGATCCTCACCCAGGACTCAGCTGAACCTTTTTCTAAAGGCTGAACATATTACTTTTTTATATGAAATAAAACTGTCTTAAAATTAAAGAGAACAAAAGTATTGGGTTTTGCTCTTAAAACTTCAAATGTCAAAAACTAATAGTTCATTAGGGATGTTGTACAAAAGCATTTGGATTTCCTTAAAAGTTAACTTGAAGTTATAAAATCTTTAAACCTATTAGAAGAATAAAGTATTTGGGCACGTGGATCCTTTTGGGGATGTACCAAAAGCCCACTGGTGTCTTTTCCTCAGTATTGGTGGTGTTACTATAGATGCTTTCTCCTGGTGTCATTTTTGACATTGGTTGTGAAACATGTTTCTTACTGGTGAGGCTGGCCTTTTGCTGTTCAGGTTTGCATGGAGACACTAAAGTAGCATTTGAAAATGTGAATAGGATCGTATTAGACCTCTTCAGGAACACCATTGATAGCTCTGCAGGGGACATTCCGTCTCCTAGGCTGCAAGTCTCCTGATGCCCATGTGTGAATCTACTTTCTGTGATTGGCAACTTGTGATTTTATGATGGAAACACTCACACTGCTATGGTACTATACTATTGCTAAGCCCTCCTCATGCACTTCTATCTCAAGTGCACTTTGTGCCTTTCTTAAGCTTGCTTTTCAAGACTCAATTTAATTGCCATTTTCGTCATGAAGTGTTACCTGATGTTGTGATCCCCATTTGTTTTTGACTTTCCTTTGCTGGTGCCTTCCTACTACCTGCACACTTTATTGGTTGCATTGTATTTAAACTAAGACTTCATGATGAGTCCTGAGACTGGATCCATTCACTCTATAGACCTAGAGGTCAGTGCGTGGTCAAGCATGAGTTGATCTCAAAATGTATAAACAACAAGCTTTGAATTATTTTGTAAATTGATTTTCAATGGGGAATCATAGACACTTAGATAGATTTAGGTAAATGTACATATATCAAGTGCATATGGGATTTGATTCTCACATTCAACAGAATCTCTGGGAGCTTCTTTTATATCTAAAAATGGCATAATGACTATACTTAGTAACATGCGTTTAAAGAAATGGAGGCAGTAACAGTGACATCAGTTTACAGTTTATTCTTTCACAGGTTGTTATTCTAAGGAATCAAGAAAAATCATTGCTATAAGTTTTATGTTGTTTTGTTGTAATTTTATTGAACCTAATATCATTAATGAATAAATCTCTTACATAGTGACCAAGTACCACTCAGAAAACTTTATATTCATTAATGTAGGAACAGTGAACTCCTTTTGATATGACCTGTTTCCTTATAAAAATATAAGCTGTAAAAAGGGAGAGTACTTCAAGAGGATGTTACCAATAGGTAAAATTGAGCTTTAAGCTATTTTTAGTCTATAAACATAGTCACTCATGGGATGAACAGGTAATACTTTTATCTGGGACATTATAAAATTCTGAATTCAGTACTTTGGTTTTTTATGGCTTTGTATGTCTACATGGATTTTAGTGTAGATTAATTTTGGATTGTTTTTCTGCAGTAAATTGAAAAGCTTTCAGGGCTTGATTCCTGGCTAAAAGTCTTTTTGTCATCTTACTCTGGACAACCAGGTCAGGGCAAAATGCTTCCCTTCTCTGTATCCACTTCAACCTATAGGATATAAAAACCATGAAGGTTTGCTGTTTCATTGTGCTCTAATCAAACATAATGACACCACAGTTAATAATCCTGTCATATAGATACTAAACAGCAATATTATCTTCATAAATGGACAAATTTACAGTTTATTTGTAAGCAAAAGTTTAATAACTATACTGACGTACTGCAACATAGCACTAATAGAAATTCCAGAAAAAGAAAATGGTGAAGATTTCTTGTGAAAACAACAGATCAATTTTACTCTGCACAATTTTTAAATACTAAATAAAATGTTAACAAGTGAAATGTAACACCCGTAATCCCAGTGCTTGGGAGGCTGAAAACAGGAGGATCACCATGAGTCCGATCTGTGTAGTGAGACCCTGTAGACCCTGTGCTAAATACATAAAAATGTTAACTCTAACAGCATCTGCAAATCATATGGGATTTGATTCTCACAAAACTGGTGTTTAATAGAGATATAAAAATATCAAAGAATGTAAATCTACAGGTTGAAAATGTTATGTTTTGTAAAAAATCAACATATCCTAAATGTTTAACGGAGTGTCCAGAATAATATAGTAGGTGGTCAGTGGACCCCCTTGGACTTTCTTCTAAGACATGAATCTGTGAAATTTGAATTCCCAGGATGTTCAAAACATAAAGCCTAGTTCCAAGTTTTAAGATGATCTTTAAGGAAATACTAAACATTGGTCATGTGTGGGGAGTAGCTTTGTAGCCTTCATCTTCTTTTGGCCCTCTAAAATCCTCGTGAGGACCAGCTGTGTCATCTATTTCCATAAAGAAGTATTGGTAGACTCTGGTTATGAGTTCCATAAAGTAAGTGTATGTGTGTGTGTGTGTGTGTGTGTGTGTGTGTGTGTGTGTGTGTTTGTGTTCTGAGTATATGAGATGAAGAGGTTCTGCATGGAGAGGTTTAAAATCCTCTTTTTCATTTCACGTGTGTTTCATGTCACGCTTTTTTCTTAGCAGCTTGGAGCGGAGAGTCTTCTAATGCAAGTTTATTACATTCTTAAAGAATGGAGAGTTACAAAACTCACTTTCTGAAGCAACAGGGAAGCATCAGCTCAGGTTTTTGCTGTACATGAAAAGGGCTGTGTGTTCTCCTCATGATGTAGCCTGGAAATCAATGTGGGACTTAGAAAAATGTTCCTCTTTTTATGGTTGGGAAAGTGGAGTATGCAGTGGGTAGACTCTCAGTCTCTTTCCCAGTTCTTCTTAAGCCCAAGTTTATACAGCCAAGGGAATAGAAAGAGTGATGAGGTTATTTGGAAACTGTGGTATTTGCTTGAAGTAAAACATCTTATACGTTCGTAAATCTACATTGTGGCTGCGTTTGAAGAGGAAGATGATCTGAGCCTGTACCACAATTCTGAGTTTCTGTAAACTTTGTTGATCCATGTACTTAAATTTTATTGTCTGGAACATAAGATGATACGTAGTTCTTAGAGAAAAAATTGAAGTTTAAAAACCTATGCACAGAGAATTCACTGTATTTTAGATCACACTTAAAGAGGATAAAATTTGGGCTTCCTGTCTCTGTGTAACCCCTAGTACGTGGGTCAGAAGAATCCAGTTCCAGACATTGGCTTGGGTTTGTTAACTGGGTAACTGGGGCAGATCATACTTAGTGTGTCTCAGCCCTCCACTCTCCTTTGTTCATGAGGACAGCACTCACCCTGTGGATTTGCTGTGTGACCTAAAGCAGGCCAAGAATGAAGATGAGCTCAAAATTCCTGTGAGACAGTTTTATGCTCACAGTCATACTTCCACCTCATTTGCCTTCAGTATGAGATTTATCCACTTGAAAACTTAAAATTATGTACTTCTAAACATACTCTATTTTTTCCCTTGGTTTGAGCTGCTGGAAAGCTAAGAACAAACTTTTTGAGTGACCTTTAGCAAAGACTTTGTGACCTTCATTTGGTGTGATAGCCTTATTGCCCCATTGTTTTTTTCCTCTTCGTTTCCCTTTTTTCCTTGTTGCTTTACACATTCAGACTATATGTATGTTGATATAAGCAGACTTAATTTCTGTTTAGAAATAATTATTTGATAAAAATCAACCAACCAAATAAATATGACAATGTCAATTTGCATTCTTTTCCCCTGAGTTGAGGGTGATGGATGAAATTCTTAGGGGAGAAGTCTAGACTGTTTCTTCTTCAGTCCAACCCAAGTGTGAATAAGAATCCATTTCAAAGATCTCACTTCTAGGATGGTGGTAGTGGTAAGGGTTGTTAGTTCTTCAATAAAAGCAACCTAAAATTCTTAGCTCATACTGCTTATAATTGGGAGTTTCTAGAGGAAAAATACCCACAGTTGAGCAAATTGTATTTGTGCTGAAGCTGGCTTCTTGCTTTATTTCAAGTCACACATAGTGCTGGGAATGCCTAGCTGAAGAAGGTACTTTAATACTTTTAAGACAGGTTCTTGTGTCAATATATATTTTTCATCTTCCTTTAGTGCACTCTTACTTGGAACGAAGTTTTGGATTATATCATAAATGAGAAAAAGAAACAGGGTTACACAAGCCCTGACAATATTTTGAGTTTTGTTAATATTTTATCACAACTTTGTTTTGTTTGCTTTGCATGTGATGCTAAATGATCATTCTATTTTTAAGTGTGACTTCATTGCTGATTGACTTAAAACTAGTTCTCTTCTTGGGTGCTTTTATCTTGCCTTTATTCTCTAACCTAAAGTCTGCTTATACTGATGGATACATATTAAACTGTACTTTATAGATGTGATGTATTTCTTATTTGACTGTAGTAAAAGTAGAGTTCATGGGAACTCATTGGCCAGACAATCAAATGAACGTAATGAAAAAAGAAACCCTCTAGTGTTTATATTGCTGTGCTACTAAATATGAGGTATAATTCAATAAAATTTGTTTTTCAGTGCTTTCAGGAGGACCATTGCCTCAAGGGCATGAATTTGAACTGTATGAAGTAAGATTTCACTGGGGGAGAGAAAACCAGCGTGGATCTGAGCACACTGTTAATTTCAAAGCTTTTCCTATGGAGGTAAGAGTAATGGTTATCTGATAAAAAATCTTGTTCTGTAAAGTATTTATTGATTTACTGAAAGTAGTAGAGTTTAAAGGCAGATGTATAGCTTTTCAATTTTATCAGTTTATACTAAGATTAAAAAATGCTTTTTTAATTTTCCATCAAGTATTTTTTAAATTAATTCTATTGAGAAACAAATAGCAATGAGACAGTTTCAAAACCGATTAATAGGACAGTTGAGTAATTAATACATCACATATTGTTGTCTTTGTAAAAAAATGCTTAATAAAATGTATACTTGGACCAGCAAGTAACGCTTTCCACCTACTTTATTGGGGTGGAGGCTGTAGGTGAGCAACTGGCCATAGCAGTGATCTGTTCTTTTAATTGTTTTATGTTTGTTTTCTTAAATTTTATCCTAATATTATTACTGGTGGGAGCATTGTGTTGATTATGCAAATTTAGTGGTCACTTTAGTAGATAATGCGTATGTGACCAGCTGGAAGCAAAGAGCTGTTGGAGAAAGCTTGGCAGTAATTAGACATCCAGCTTGTCTCATTTAAAATTGGTAGATTGGCTTTATTCACTCCAAGCTACTGGGGAGAGGAGGGTTTGTAGATAGTGATTCTTTTGTTTAAAGTATTCCCTTTCCCACTTATATTTTTAGTTAACTCCTTCTCTTTCTTTAATATCCAGTTGAAGACTCATATCTTCCATGGGATCTTTTCTAAGCTCCCTCTCTAGGCAAAATTCATGTTTCCTTCCCTCCTCCTGGTGTATTTGACAGAGTGCTGCTGTGCTGACACTATGGGCTAGCTCAGATGCTCTGTCTTGCTGACTGTAGACTCCTCTCATCTACCCACTGCTAGGCACATCGCAGACAAAGAATTCACCTTGATGCTATTTTTTCAGGAGGTCTGTGTTGGTGTAAGCCTTATTTGTAGTATTTCCATAAAGAACCTCAGTTCTCAGGAAATAGTCCTTCAGTGTCATGTAGATGATTTAGTCATCTTCTTTGTTGCTGGGTCAGATGCCCTGAGCTCCAGAACTTAGGGGAGAGGCTTACCTGGGCTCAGTGTTTCAGCCCATAGTTGGCCAGCTCCAAGGAGAAATGGCATAGGAGAGGGGCCGGGGCAGGGAGAGCTGCTCACGTCATGGGACCAGGAAGCATGGAGGAGGGAGCCAGAGAGGAAGAGACTTACTTCTGGATCTTGCCCCGAATGACTTGCTTCTAAAGGTCCTGTCTCCTGGCAGCAAGCCAGTTGTAGCAGCCCATGATTCAGTCATCTCTGGAAACCCCCAGCATGTGAGGCTCTTGGGGAACACTGCATATCTGAGGCTAACGTAAAAGCATGCTTTTCCTCCTCCCTCTTTTCTGTCTTAGTGGCCTCTGGATGATCTAATCCATTTCTGAGATCTTGGTTCTTCATTATGTCTACTCAAGATTTTATCTCCATCTAGATTCATATAGACAACAATGAGTAGATTTTTGACTTTTGCGCTTGGTAAACACGAAAAATTAAAAACAATCAACCGTTAATAAAAGTGCATTTTGGAGACTGCTGGAACATCCACCTTCTTTCTACATTATTTATAGTTATATCTATGGTTAATATTAAATATGAAATTGTTCATGGCCAGATACCATAGCCAGCATTACCACTTCGGTGACTGGAAATTACTACTACATAATTTTATGTCAATGACCTATCGTATATATTTTTAAAGATTACATTAGAATGCTCTTAAGGTTACCTCGATTATAATTCTAAAAAAATCTCTTTGGAAGCTCAAGATATCTACTCCAGTATGTGATTGTAACGGAATACTATTTCAGCAATAAAGAATGACTAATTTGAGACATTTGTAGGAAAATGGATGCACCTGGATCTATGCTGAGTGAAAGAAACACTCAAGCTTAAATACCAAATGGCATCTCTTATTTGAGTGAGGCAAAGAAAAAAAAAAAAGAAGCACTTTGCATAGATGCACAGAAAGGAACAAGGGGATAGATCTCTGACAATAGAGAAGTCCAAGGGGAAAGGAGCGAGGGCTGAGGAGGATCGGAAGGGGAAATAAGTAGAATAAATACATGCCACATACAGGGACCTCAGAACCTCAGTTAATATGAGCATTGTATATCATAGCATGAGCAACAAGAATAAAAATGGCACAGGGTATTGTGGGAGGAAGGAGGAAGAGGGAGGGAAAGGCAAGAAGGTTAAAAAGAAACAAGCTGTGGTATGTACATATGGCCGCTCTCCAAGATAGACTATAAGCTGCATGAAGTGCAAATATGTACTGATAAAATAAAGGCTAAAAGGAATTGAAAAAGAACAAAAGAACAAAGTGGCTTTCAACTGGGTGCGATGATCCATACATATGATCTTGGAGACTCAGGAGGCTGAAGCAGGAAGATTGAAAGTTTGAATTCCATCTGAGCAACTTAGCCACTGTCTCAAAGTTTAAAAACAAAAAGAAGATGCAGCACATTGGTAAAGTACCCTAGTACCAAAGAAAGTTCCCTAAAATTGAAATGTGAAATGTTTTAAGGAGAGAGGGACAAACACCAGAGAGTGGTCTGTTGAAGAGCAGATGTGGCCTGAGCACAGCAGGAGAAGACATCTTCTCAGAGACCTCAGTGAGGAGCACTTGCATGTGTGGCTTTTCAGAGAGCTGTTTGCTTGTTGCCAAGACATGTTCATTTCCATAGCCTTAAGAAGAGTTCTGGCTGCTACACGGGGTCCAGCCCACTTGAGAAAGAAATATTCACCCCAAAGAACATCAAAGAGGAAAGACAGCACCAAACAGAAGAATTTGAAACTAGTGAACCTGCTGGGTGGTGGGGGCCGGGACTGGGGGGGCAAGCCTGGGCCTCCTCCTGGGGTCTGACAGGGCATTTCCTTATTTCTACCGGGTGGTCTTCAGAGACAGACTGCAGCACTCATGGGTCCTAGAAAGATGGGCACTATAGGTGGAACAGACTCCTGGATGGAATTCAGTGATTTTGTTTGTGACAAAGAGTTTCCAGCCTCAAAATATTTAATTAGATGAGGGGACTCAGCAATGTGTATTCTTTGTTGTGTAGTTAGAGTTTCTGGATTAAACATTCAGACTGGTCTGACTACTTGGTGGTGTTTTAACAGCTCTGGTCCGTTAGGCACAGGTAATAGACTGTTTTGAGTGAAGATTAAATTCTGGGTGTGAGGCTTTATTTCTGCAGAAATACTTACAGTTAGGATAATGGAATTGCTGACTGTAGTTTTTCTAAAATAGGTAATGATTAATATTTGTATCTTTGTTATCCCAGATTATTTTGGACGGAACACTAGACAAAATATTTCCATCGGTTATCTGATGTTTACTTGTGGTTTTGTCCTATTGCATGCGCAGATGTGTGGTTGTGTAAAATCAGAGAGAGGTGGCTGAAAAGCCAGTTAAAAAGATGGAAGCAGTGAATGCCAAGCTGGGTTTTGAGGTGACCTTTAGGCTGTGTGTATGCACGAGAAAGGGGCTTTATGGGGCAGAATGTCCCAGGAGAGTGAGGAGTTGGCAAGCGTAGTTGCTTAGGGAGCTTACTCCTTGTCCCCTAGTCCTGACAGCCCTCAGGGAATGCCTCACACAAGTATGTGGCTGTGGACAGGTACCCTTCTGAACACTTTTTAAAGATTTTTTTCTTATTCCACTGTCCACATTTTGTTTACATTTCAAGACTAACTTTAATTTCAAAGTCACATATCCATGCAAATACTTCCTTTCTATTGATTTCATTTAAAAATAAATGATTGTATTTTTCCCATGTCTGTTAACTGTAACACTCAAGATGACCTTTCACAGAAATCTGTCCGTCTGTCTTCCCTTGGCTTTTAAAGATTACTACAAGTAGAATAACAGTCCTGAATGTATTTTTTTTTATACTACTGTGAGTCAACACCAGTGCTGCTTCAAAAGTTAACACAATTTATAATTTCTAACAATTTCAGCTGCAGCTGTTCCACCGGGCAAGATGGGTAAAATATGCCTTTTTTTTACTTGAGATTTGTACTTTCCATATACAAACATACTTCCACAGGCACTGGACACTTACCATAACGTTTTTACCATGCAAACCTGGAATACCATACGTTTATATCTAGATAACAGTGCTTTCAACAAGAAATAATAATTGTACTGTTTTTCCCTGTTACCTAACAGTTGGAGGGGTGTGTATGCATTAAACATATTCTTGCAAATACCTGTGTTGTGGTAACCAGCTGGATTTTTTTTTTTTTAACTTGAAAGTGTTTTGCATTATGGTAATCAAGACATTAGCATGATTAGGAGGTTGTCCATTAAAGGAAAGCCTGAGATCAACTCAGATTGATTTTGTATATGTTCTTCTGGTAGCTGTGAAAGCTTTTTCTTTTCTTTGAACCTTATTAGATGTCTTGGCTTGTGGAGTCCCACTTTGATGCTGAACCAGGTTGACTAGTTTGCTGACACTGGTCTGCTCTGTGCACCCACCATTTTACTGGAATTGCTTATTCTGTTCACACCATTTTTTTTTTTTTTTACTGTATACCTGGAGCATTTAGGTTTAGGTTCAAGGTTCACATTCCACTTTCATGCTACTTCTCTTATTTGTCTGAAGACACCATTATTTGCTGTTTTAAAGAAACCTAATTCTGTAGTCAGTGTCGTTCTTGGTTAATTCTTGGTAAATTCTGATCAGTCTTCACACATGAAGATCAACTTGCATAATTCTAGGAGGGAGGGTTTCCTAGGCATTCAGCTTTCATGGTGGATTACTAGTATTTTTAAAAAAGTGACTGGGGTGCCAAAAACAAGGCCCAATTTACAGTTTTCTCAATAAGACTCTCTCTGTCTTTGTCATGTCTTTCTCTGCCTCTGTCTGTCTTTGTCTCTCTCTGTGTCTGCTGTTCTCATCATTTGATAAGGAGAGGAACTTTAATAGCTACATGTAGGAAGGGCATGGTCTCACAATAAATCACAGGTGCATGAATTGAATAGATTGC